CTGCTGCCGAGGACGACCAACAAACTACAACAACCACCACCACAAACCACAGGCTTCGCATTTCATTGATTAATTCAACCCAACCTCAAAATGCCACGCCTATGCTAAAAAAAGCTACGTACAGGTACGTAGCTCATAAAAACTGACCTCAATTTTTCTTCCTTTCACCAACCACCACCACCACCTAACACATAGCAGCTTTCAATTTCATACCTATTTAAATTAATTACGTGTGTATATCACATAGGAAAAACACAGTCCACAGTTCACACCGGAAACTGGAAACAAAAAAAGAAAGAAAGAAAGAAAAAGAAAAGGGAAAGGGAGAGCAGAGACTTACAGAGGAAGAGGGTCATGAAATCTATCAATTGGCTGGTGAGGTACGTACAGTGCAGGGTTGGTTTTATAAAAGAATTAATGATACTACAGTGACATAAAGGAGGGATGAGCGATGAACGCTACACGGTTTAATTGAAGGCAACTTTATTTATTTATTTATTTTTGGTACAGGGACCTTCCGATTTCTGGATTCACAGGAGAACCGACTAATTCGGAATTGAGCCGGGTAGGATCACAAGGGCGGCAAAGCTCTCCCTCAAGAGTTTTTAATGTAACACTGTTGCATTTCCAGGGCTCACACACGAGACCACTGGTTAAGCTGCAAGAGACCAAGCCATCTCATCCGAGCGTTCTTGTCTTGGGTTAATTGAGGCAACTTTATGTACGTATGTATTTGTGATATATATGTAGAGAGAGAGAGTGTGGACTTCAAAAGGGAAGGGACCAACCAAAACCTCTCCACTTTATTCTTGCCTCAACTGTGTGGAATTGAGGCGGATGGGATCCATGCCATTGCCAGCGTAATTCTTTGACTTTGCCAACCCAATTGCCTGCTTTGCTTTACACACTATTGGTGTGATTGGTTGGGGTATTTGGTTGGGTTTGATATACTCAACCAAGCTGGGCCATGTAATATTTTGTAGAGGAAATTGCATTCCATACTGTCATGCTTAAACTATTTAACACTTTTGCACCCTTTTTATTTTATTTTTTAAAATCACCTAAACAACATAAAAGTTTTTCAAATATGCCTAAAATCCTGATTAACCGTTTATTAATTTTTTAATAATATTAATGATATAATTAAGGGAGATTAATTATCCACTTACCAAAAAAATTGGAACTAAAAAGTAAAGATATCCCCACCAAACGTAACCCTTCATCTTCTGAAAACCCTCACCTCTGAAAACCCTCAACTGTTCGCCGTTTTCAGAATTCAATGGCAAAAACCAAAGCCAAAATCAATCATCCTCAACGAAACAATCCGGCGGATAATGGCGACGGTTCACCAGTTATTAGATCTAGTGCTCGACTCCGTAAAATCCTCCCAAAACATCAACCGAAATTCGTTCAAAAAAAATTAATTTTCGATAAAATCTCTAACCCTAAGCCCAGTCGCCGCAGGATTTCCGACAAGGCGAAAATGAGAAAACATACTTCGTCTTCCGGTTCAGATGACTTCCAGTCCGACATAAACAAACCGAAAAAGTCTCGGCCAACACGTAAAGTGGAGAAGCCAACCCGAGTTTCAAGCGAAGAAGATCCCGACTTCGAGTGTGTAAGCCAACCCGGAGAAAGCGACAGTGAAGAAGATTTGGATGAGGAAGACTCTCCTGCTGAATTGTTGACGAAAAAAACAAAGAAAAGGACGGCCAAAAAAAGTGACGAAGTCAACAGATTGAAGAAAAGAAAAATGGACAAGATTGATGTCACCAAGTCCTCTCGAGATTTTCAGAAAGGAATAAAATACAAGGTATTTGCCCCTAAAACCATCATTTTTTTGAATCGACTTTTTTTTTTGCAAGGTATGTTTAATTTGTGTAGTCCCTGATTAATCACCATTTAGTAACATTGGAGTATACATACTGTTATGTGGTTGTTCACTACAAATGTAGTATATTTTCTGTATATTCAACGTATATAACAATCTTATTGATATGATCTTCGACCTAAAATGCTCTGAACTTGGGACCTAAAATGCTGAGTTTTTTTTACTATAACAATTTTATATACTGAGTTTTTTTTAGTATATTTCAAGTATATTGCTCAGAACTTGGACCTAATTATATTTTTTTAGTATACCAATTTTACATACTGAGTTTTTTTTAGTATATTTCAAATATATTGCTCAGAACTTGGACCTAAAATTCTTAGTTGAATGATAATTATGTTTTACATAACAATTTTTTAGTATATTTCAAGTATATTTCAGGTTTATTGAAAAAAACTTTAACATAAAATTCTTATTCGAATAATAATTGTGTTCTTCATAACTATTTTTCATCTGAAGCATATGCAAGTTTATTTTCATTTATATGTTAGGTTTTAATACTGATTTTATTCCTTACACTTTTTATTGCAGGGCATATGTTTAAGTATATTTCAAGTAGATTTGAACATGACATTATAAATTGTAAAAGTATATATTTAAAGTATTTTCAATTTTACCTTAAAGTAAATTGAACAGGGCAGATTATGGCACATATATATTGCAGGGTATAGTGAACAGGGCATATATGTTTTGAAGGCTTTTTTTTTTTTGGTAATTTAATTGCATTTTATTCTTTATTTTTTTCAGGAATG